ACAGGCTGCAGTCTAGCTAGTCGTACACAGACTTACCTACAAAGGCCGGAGGAAGGAGAGGCGAAAAAGTGGGAATATGCAAATAAGGGAGAAAAGATACATATCATCTTGGTTGGTCCGAAAGATACCTAGTCCTAGGTACCAATAGGTACAGTTCCTTTTGCTAGACGTACCTATCTGTGTCAGTTGTACCTATCTGTGTCAGTTGAGTCCAAGTACATCCAAAGATCAGATCATATATAGGTGAAATCTTTTCTGCCATGTCTGCATGTGGCTTTCTCAGAAATGGAGATTCGCGTGAAGATATCTAACGTGTACGGAATTTGGCCAGCTCTGTCAAAATCGATTTCCTACTCTAGCACTCTATCCAACCTAGTCCTCAATCCCAGCTAGAATCGTAGCTAGCAGAGTCGTGGAAGCTACGTTTGATAGTGCGCTTGCCGTTACACTGAAATTGGCTGGAGCCAGCTGTCTGTGTCCAGGTCGGCCGCAAATGAAAAAGTGTAAGAAAAGTGCACTAGGTACACTCTTTGACTCTAGTGCTTCAAAATATCTGCATGGCCAGCTAAGTGGTGGTGCATTATTGATCCAGCTTTGACTCCCTGCAACGGGCCTGCAACACCGTGCTTAGTCGCCAAACGATTCTTCTCCTTTCCCTCGAGCTATTCTTTTCAAAAGAGTAGCTCGAGGTCGATTTTCGTGGTCACCAGGTCTAGTCAACAGGTGTGATTACGTGCCCTGGCATGGTACGAGGAGGAAGAGCAGTGGGAGCTCAGATTCAGCACGGAATGTGGTTAAGCAAAGATACAGCTGATATATATGCAGCAACCATAGGAGTGTTCCCTGCAAAGTGAAGGATAAGGAGCACCCCCGCTCAGAGGCCTGGAAGAGATAGGGCCTCATGATGGTGAGTGGTGGCGCTGGACACTAATTCATTGCAGCATCCCAACTTGCAGAAGCCTGCTGTGGTGCGGTCCCTTAGCTGCAACAAAAGGGATGGAAACCTGGATGCTTCCATGCATTACTGGATGTTCATTCTCGATTATGTTCGCGCTTACCAGATTGATCAAAAGGAAAGTGGTTAAAGGCACACTGGCAGATGTTACAAGCAAAGAAGCAGCTGATACAATGCATTGCGCCGATGAGCATCAAGCCGAGGGGGCCTTGAAACACAGCCTCACCTTTGAGGTGCTGAGTTTGGACTGTGGTTCTCCTCCCCAGTTGTGGATGCAGGGGCCTGACCTTGGCAGGTGCTCCGCTTTTCGTCGACGATGTGAATATGTATTGCTTTTTTTCTGCATCATCGCGGCCACTGGAGTTGGTCAAGGTAAGAATTACACTAGTCTTGAGGCAGTGAAGAACCGGATCATCACACGAGTCCACACAGAGATTCTCATCACATGGAGTTTGTGCTAAAGTCTATCATCAGTTCCAAGACCATCAATATGGAATTAAGCTTGAAGAAGTCAATCAGGAGATGCAGGCAATGAAAGTGCAGATGATTGTTCTGGGAGGCTTGCTTCCATTTGAGGCATTGCTCATTTTGGTGCTTTGCACTAGATCCCGAGGGATGTAGAATCAAGTCATCTCAACCACTTGGTGCAGCTTCGGCAGCAACAGTTGCGGTTAGCGCGTACTGGCCTGGGGCAGGTTCGAATGCAGGTAAGTACTATGCTTGGACCAGTTGGGAACACCAGGTGGTTCTCCAGGACACCTCAATCTGCATCCTCTATTGACCGCCAAGCGTCGCTCTCTGGCCTTGTTGTGACTCTGGACCTTGGTCCAGTTTCTTCAACTTTGTATCCAAGCCTTCTTCATATCGGCATCCGATGAGGTTTGCGGATGACAACTCAATCAGCAACAAGCAATTCCTACTTTGATTGAATTCCATCAAGACAACAGCCTTTACAAAAGCGAAGCTTTCAAGGATTGAACAGCCTGCCATTGCCAAGGTCGTTCCCCTCATCCCCGCCTCTCACATGTGAGAAGAATGGGACGCAGTGACTTTGCACATGTAAGAGACTTGCTTGCATCCTTTCTGCATGGTTATTGCAAGCGATCCTGACATTTCCAATTGATACGAGTAACCTCCATCAAGCTGATAGATATTCCGGGCCTTTTCTCCTTGATAATGCGTGCAAAACTGTAGCCAGCAACAGTCTTTCAGTCACCCCTCAAATAGGTCGGAGCCACAAGAATGGACACTTTCAAGATGCAAATGGATGTCCCCATTTGCTCAAGCAGATACGAACATATCGTTCTCTCCCACAGGTGGAAGCATCCTTTCAGTTGAGCTGAACACATCACTGCCAGACTCTTATGACACCCTGTACTGCAAGTTTGACAAAACAGTGGTTGCAACTTACGCTTCTGAGGCAAGCAGTACAAGCGGAGGGCCAACTGCGTCGTTCATAGTTCCATCCTCTCGCAAGGAGAGGCAAAAGATAGAGCTCGCAGTCAGCTCGGACAACGTCACCTTTGAGGTCTTTGGAAGCTTCGTCTATTATGGTGGGTTCAACTTCTTTGCTTTCGCTTTTCAATTCTACTACCTTATACCAAGATATGGTGCTGCGGAGAGTTTTGGATTCAGGGGGATGAGCAGAGGAAAGCGTTTGCAAGCAGACGACTGTCAGCGTAGGAGGCTGAAGATTTCGTTCATGATGAAGCTTTGCCATCGGAAGCATTTTCAATAGTCCAATTTCTCTGTACTATGAGAAGGGACTCTGCTAATTCGGGAGAAAAGTTCTCACCAGAGGGAAACGAAGCTGTGCAATAGAAGCCTAAAGAATGTTTTTCAGACTCCTTTCTCCTTCAAAGCAATCTTGACGACCTTCCTGTCCTTGCTCGCATGCAGAACCTCTACAGATCCACTCCATCGCTCCTGCTGTGGGCCTTGTGACTGGAGGCACTCTCGTCCGCATAGAGCTGCAGGCAGACCCGTGGCCAGGCGGTTTCACGCAAGCGCAGGCGGACCTCGTCGCTCAGCCGAGCTGCAGATTTGACGACATCACAGCCGTTGGATCATACCACGCGCCTGGCTCAGATTCGCTGCCTTCGATCACGTGCAAAAGTCCCCTAGTCAAGGCAGGGCCTGGCCCAGTCAACCTGACGGTATCGCTCAACGGACAGGAATGGACTTATTCGCGTGCGACGTTTACCTACCTGAATGTTCCGGCCGGGGGGGTTTCACAGCCACTTATAATCCAGCAAGTCGCAGAAGCGGAAGCGCTGACCTCCTGGGAAGAATACCTGCTGGCAGCAACCGGAGGGCTGCAAAGCTTTCCCAAGTTCGGGATTGCAGAAATTGGGCCGTCTAATCCTGGCGTCTACAGAGTTCCCAGTGGTAAGGGGATGTCTTCCGTTACTTTCGACTCAAGCATCTTGACAAGCAGGTTCTGTTCTTGGCAACTCCTCTGAAAAGTCAAAAAACTCCTTTGCTTCATGACCCCGTCCTGTGTTTCGGTCAAGTCTTCAACTCTCGAAAGGAACGTAGTAATGTTTCTTTTACATCGCTTGATCCTCTATTGCGTTCAGGGTGCTACTCGGTAGGAGTCAGCTCCCGTGAGTCCCTTCGTACAAGATTCCTTACGCCCGGCCAAACGGTCGTTGAGTTCAAAGCAAGGCGTCTTTGCAGGTTGAGCCGAGAAGCTGAATTCAGCTTCAAAGGCGATGTATAGTTGGCATCCTATTTATCCTTGTACTCTGCTTTTCAGGGGGCACTTCGTTCTACGGTCCTGGGAGAGACAGCTTTTATGGATCAGGGGATGACGATTTCTACGGTTTGCCATCTGGTAAGGCTGCCTACCCGTCTTGAAAGGAGAGAGGACTTCTTCTCAATCATCTTGGCAATCATCTTGCTCCGCTCCCTTGCGCTCAAGAACTGCTGATGCTGAGTAAGCCGATCACAGCTCTTGTTTGTTGAGGATGAATTTCGAAGAAAATATACGCCTTTGACACCTTACTGTATATAAGAGACCCCCTTCTTCCGATATCTTTGGGCCGCAACTAAGGGGAGCTCCTGGTGTGGAGTGCTTTGCGTACAGAGATGCTTGTTTCCCGTCTCCTTGCACTAACAAGCACGATTGCCCCTCTGGAATCACCTTTGCCAGTTGTGGATGCTCAGCAATATGACGTCAGATATCCCTCGGATATAAATTATTGTTGTCAAGTTTTCAACGCTCGACTTTGTTTGTTTGCCCCTCAGTTCCTGGCTACGTTGCACAGTCCGCCTGTATGTACGCTATGCATCCGCGCGTGGGCCCTGTCACGGGGAGCACGACAGTGTCTATCCTCCTGACTGGCCAACTACCCCCTCCCCCGCTCGTGACGCCATTCTGCTCATTTGGCGGTCAGCAAGTTGCGGGAACCTATGGGACTTCTGAGGATAGCCACACCACCATACTCTGCGCCGCACCCGCAACCGATAATGCCACGACTTTGACCGTGCTTTTCAGCCTGGACGGCAGCCACTTCATCTCCGCCGGTGCAAGTTTCACGTATTACGGTGAGTCTAGAAATGCGGAAGGGATCAGGTTTGTGTCAACTCCATGCCTGGAAAATGCTTTTGGCTACATGAAGCTGCCGCTTGGTCGTTTGTGTGTAGTTAAGCTCTGTTGATTGGATCGAACAGGTCAAAGTTTAGAACCATTTTCTACAATCTAAGATCTAGAAGAGACTCTTCGAACTGCCCTGCTTTGCTTGATAGGAAGCTGATTCCGGCAGAACTAAACTGTCGACAGATGCTTCTAAGGTACCCCGGGGAACTACAGGGGAAGGTCCAACCAATTTATTGCGCTTTGACTGTCCAACAGGTGTTGATGTCTGACTGTCCAACAGGTGTTGATGTCCGGCGATCTCGACTTGTACCAAACTTGCCCGCTCTGCTTCCAAAAGCCGAGTCCTACTCCCCTCTCGAGCAATTCGAATCTCCCCCTCCCTTTCTTGCAGCGCCTTTTGCCGCCAACACCTTCAGGAACGTGCCCCCTGCCCAGGACCAGCAGTCACCATTCCAGCCCATCATCCCTCTCGACATTTCCATTTTCCCGGTCGAATTCCTTGACTACGACAGCGTTGCACTGACGGCGAGTTGCAGACTAGACGGCCTGGTCACTCCGGCAGTCTACAACCCCCTGTCAGATGTATACTACTACCCAGACGGGGTGCAAAGCCGGCCGTCGATCAGCTGCTTTACCCGAGGGGCGGAGGGCGGGGACTTTGTCCTCCAGGTCTCGCTTGACGGCCAGAATTACGTCAACGTGTCGACGCCCCTCAATGCAACAGTAAACTTTAACGGGCCCCATGTCGACCTGCCTGCGCTGGACGTCAACGCTACCCTGTCCCTGCGGGCGCGCCCATACTACCCGCTCGCGCCTTCCGTGAGTCTCTGCACGACGTTCAACGGCGATGCGGCCGCGAGGAAGGCAGCGCTTGCCAGCCTGGCGATCTCAAAGGGGGACCTTGCCCCGGCTTTCAAAGCGCTCGTGCTCGCGTACTCGGCCAACCTTCTCTCAAAATCCGCTAGCGGCTTCAGCATCACCGTCGTTCCTGCCGCGGCCGGGTCTCGCGTCCGGGTTGGCACGGTGAAGCTGCAACCCACTTGGGTTAGCAGCGGGGTTATCGACAACGTATTCTTCCCGACAAACCTGAGCGTGGGTCTGCATAACCTGAGTGTGGAGGTTACTGCTCCCAACGGGCTTAATCAACTGGTTTACCAAGTTGCACTCTGGGTGCACACTTCGGCGCCCGTCCTCAGCGTCAGCCTGACGGCCGGAAGCCTTAACCCGCCTTTTGATGTCGACGTTTACGACTACACCGTGGCGCTAGACGCGGGCGTGCGCAGTATCTCGCTCCTGCCAACCCCGACCAACATCTCCTCCACGCGCGCGTACCTCACCAGGCCTAGTTCCGACCCTGGGTCCGGCCGGACGGTGTATGCGGCTCTCGACTGGTACCGGCGCAGCGGAATCAACCTCTACTCTGACGCGTGGCCGCAGCCCAACTCGGCGTGCCCCACGTATTCCAGCCTTCACCAAGGGGAGGGCGTTGACGGAATGAACTGGGGCTCACTTATGAGCGGCTGGCCCTGGTGGGCGCCCGGTTCGTGGCTCCCGGTCTCCCTCGACTGCGTCGAAACCACAGTCGTGCAACTTGTGGTGCAACAAGACGGGCTCCCCACTCGCACCTACACCCTGCGGTTCCGAAGGGCGGCCGCGGTCTCCACCGCGCCGCTAGGCTTGGCAACGCTGCGGAGCAACTACTGGATGCAAAACGTGGTTCCCCCCTTCGACCCCGCCTTTTTAGGCCCCTATCAAATCCTCCCAGACCTCCAGCTTCAGTTGGACTACCAGCTCAATCTGGTGGCCACTCCTTCGCAGCCCGGGGCATGCGTGAGGGCGACTCCCAGTGAGTTTCAGCGCGGGGTTAACAACGTTAACCTAACCGTGACGGCGCTCGACAAGGCGACGGTTACGTACGCGCTGATTCTGGTGGCGCGTTACGATGCCCTGGCGGCGACCTCCCTCACAGAGTACAGCCCCACGCGGCCGCCTACCAACGGAAGCGTCCGCGAATATAGCGGGTTCACCGAGACTTATTACGTCAGGTCGGACGTGGATTACGTCATACTCAGTACATGGACCTGGCTGCCGCAGTCGGTGGTGGCGCTTGACTGCCAAAGTGGCTGTTCGTCTTACGACGCCTGCACCAAAACGTGCGCCGCTCTCCCAGTGCTGAACGCCAGCCAGTATGCGGAACCGGTGATGACGTCAGTCGACGTCAATTCGCAGGGGCAACTGAGTTTCGTGGACTGGGCCGCCCGGCGCGCGCAGTGGGCGGTCCCCGTGTCTAGTCTCGGATACACGCGGCTCAACTTGCAGATCGACTGCCAGGGGCTGTGCAACGACGAGCGTTTCCCGGGGGCTACCTCGGGGTTATATTCAGTCGTTATTTCCCGCCAGCAGGGGTCGGACACCAGTCTCTCGTCGCTGGGCTTCTCAAACGGCACTCTTGCGCCCACGTTCAGCGCGGGCGCGAGCGGCTTTTCGGGGACGGTTACAGTGCCAAAGGGTCTGGATGTGGTGCACATCACCGCTGTCGCCACAGACCCCACGGCTGAAGTCGCTGTGGAAATAGACGGGGCGCCAGCACATCTTCTTCACAGCGGTCACCGGATGGATTTGCCGCCTCCGTTTACTCCGTCGATGCTCAAAAACGGCCTGATCGTGCCGCGAAACACGTGGGTTTGGCAGGCTACCCCTCCTAGAGCAAACCAGACCAAGAAGGCGAAATTTGCGGTTACGTTCAACAGGGAGTCGAGTCCATGGATGAACTTTTGGGGCTCCACTTACTCCGTTGACCTTGTCACAGCGAGAGGAACGGACTCTTCTCTCGCCGAGCTGTCTCTAATCCTCCAGAACGGGACAGTGGTTGACGTACTTGATGGGCAATTTGCTGCTCCAGGCGGCACGGTGAGCACGCTTTCATTTCATGAATTACCTCCATCTGTAAGGGCTGTGAAGCAGAAACTCCTGAATTCAGATGTGGACCTTTAGACGAATAATTAGCGTTGTTGGCTCAAAGTTATCCTGGATGTGCTTTCTTAACGGTGCCGAGTTGCCGAGTCTGAGAAGTTCATAGTTTCTTTGGGAGGGGATCTGAAGCTCCAAGCTTTGAGTTCATCAATCTTAATCAAGCCTGATTGCTTCGGGGAGTCGTCATTGAAGCTGCCAACACTTCCCGCTCGTACAAGTTGGGGATGTAAAGCTTAAAGGGTCTTCTTGCGTGACAAGAACTTCAGCCAAACGTGCCTGCTTGTTATGACGAATTGGCTATCGAAGAGTAAATCTGCACGAAGCCAAACGTCGGAACTGCCGCACGTCATTTGTGTGTTGTCTCAGAACCCTCTCGAAACACTGGACATCTCCTTCGCAGATAAGCGGTAATTACGTCGTCCCCAAGGAAACGCTGTCGGTTGGGTTGCGCTCCATCACTTCGGACCCGGGCGCCTCGGTCAACAGCACGACAGTCGCCTCTGTGGATCCCGCTCTAGCCTCCGCCACAACCGTTACAAGCTCCGGGCTGCTCTTTGACGGGTCGAGCTCGGACACTTCTGTAAACGGCACCAGTATTGCTACCCTGGCGTTGCCCCCCGGCTCCACTACTTCGAACGTAACCCGCTTCTACCAGCTGAGTCAACCTACGGTAGCGACCAACTTCCTGTTCACGGTAACGGCGGAAGACGGGGTCGCCCAAACCGTGTTTAACCTCTCCGTAACCCGAGAACTCGGCCGCCTGAGCACGCTCCGCGCCCTGGCCATTACCATCAATGGCACGACCACCAGTTTCGTTGACCAGCAAGACGCGGCGCTCCTCCAAGCGCCCGACGTGCCGGCCGGAACGGATTCCGCTGTCCTCAGTTGGACAACGGAGGACCCCGACGCCACGGCAGACTTCTCGGCGGGTCCGGCGTCCGCTGGGCTGCGCAGCCGAACGCAACAGTCACGCTGCGGACCTCACCGAACTTGTTCTACCTCAGGGTAACACCCCAGGACGATAGCCAGGCAACGACGTATAACCTTTCCGTCTCCGTTCCGCTCGCCGGAACGGNGCGNGGGCCAGCTGCCGCCTTCCCGGCTCGCTTCCGCCCGCTACTTTCCNCCCAGCTAGTTTACG